ATTAAAATTTGAGCTGAGTTCACAGGGACCACCTGAGTGGTGTTTAAACTTGTGGAAAGAGAAAGGAAGTAGCTGCCGGGTAGGGTCTCTGGGTCAGACGGTTGCTTCCTGTGGGCTCCCTCTGAGCAGATCTAACTGGCTAAGGAAGTGATTTCAAAGTCAAACTAAAATGCAAGCTTTGGGGGAAAGATTTAAGTTCCGTGGATGTGATCTGTGACTGGAGTGCTTGTAAACTGAGCACATAGCCCTTAATAATGCAACTAAATTTTTCAGCGACAACAGGATACTTTCAGAAGAACTGGGAAATTCCACCCTGCACAATGCCAACAAATACTGAATTAATGAGGGTCTTCAGTTTGTGGACCCCTAAAAATCTCACAGGGATTGCTTAAATTACCTCTTTTACTCTATAATCTACAGAATCTTTTCTTGAAAGGGATTAATACTTAAGTGGCAACAAATACTACATTTCTCATTTTTTATCTATCATCGAAAAGGTCATCAAGTAAACCAGGCAAGGAGAGACAAATACCATATGATCTCACCTACGAGTGGAACCTAATCAACAAAACAAACAAGTAAGCAAAATATAACCAGAAACATTGATTAAGACCAAACGGACAGTAAGGGGGGGGGGGGCAGAAAAATGGGGGAAAGAAGGGAAAGGGTCATCAAAGAACATGTATAAATAAAGGACCCATGGACAAAGAAAGCCAAAGGGAGGCAGGATTGATGGTGGGAGGTGGGGATGGATGGGGTGGAGGGGAGTGGTGGTGGGAAAATGGAGACAACTGTATCTGAACATTAATAAAAAATGATTTGAAAAAAAAGGGCCATCAACACTAGAGCTCAACTCTCCTGTAACTCCTCACTCACTCACCCAAGTGATGCCAACTGTTCCTCGCCAGGAAAGCTTAGAAAGTAGCTCACTTTCTAGAAAGATAAGCAAACCACTTCTGACTCAAGCCTTGACTCATTAGCATCTCTCTTAACCCCACTCTCTGGGCAATCTTCCTACCCATGCTACTCCTCCTCAAGTACTGAATTCGTTCTAGAACAAACTGAAGATAATTTCTCCTCCTGTATAGTAAGGGGTAGTATTTCTGGTAGCAGACTTTAATCATAGCCCCACTTCCTGCTGGTCTTTCTCTCCCCTTCCCTATTTCAGCCTTTTTTGGACATCTGAGATATATTTTTGCAGGAAGATAAAATAACAATTCAAGGTTTGAGGAAGTGGCACAGTGCAACATCTGACAGAGGGAGGCGGCAAGATGACGTTAGTGGTTAATCCTGGGAACAGATGATTGTACCATAATATCATACATGTATGGAGGGAGTTTGTTGGGGGCTCCGGAGTCAGACTGCTTGGGTTCAAATACAGGTTCTGCTAAGGTGGTATGACTCTGGGCAAGAATTTTTAAAACATGCAATAGCTTAGCTGACTATTTAGTCAGGGGCATTGACGTCTTTTCCCTTAGACTGTCAAATTAAAAAAATAACACAACACAACAATAGCCATCCAGTGTGAGCAAATCAAAATTATACCTGTTTTTTGTCAGATCGGCTATATATACATATTTTGGTGCTGCAGAATTTGTGTATGTCATGAAACTGAAAATCACCACCTGAGAGAGTTGTTATGAATCAAATGATATGATACAAACTTGGAAAGAGTGCCAGAACTAAACAGCATGCCCTGTGTTATTAGTACTATGTATATCTTATAAAATATATATAGTAATATATATAATATAGCTGTTATTAGTACTATGTATACATTTTAAAAGAATGAAGAAATTCCACATGTACTGACTTGGAAAAAGTCCAGGACACTGTTTTATGAAAATGCTACTGTATAATCCTACACCAGGAAGATAAACAACCCAATTTAAAAATGGGCAAAGGACCTGAATAGACACCTTTCCAAAGAGGACACATGGATGGCTGACCTATAGACATATGAAAAGATGCTGAACATCACTAGCCATCAGAGAGATGCAAATTAAAACCACAAAGAGAATCACCTCACACCTGTCAGAATGGCTATCACTAATAAATTAACAAACAACAAATCCCGACAAGGTTGTGGAGAAAAGGGAACCCTAGTGCCGTGTTGGGAGGATTGCAGACTGGTGCAGGCACTATGGAAAACAGCATGGAATGTCCTCAAAAATTTAAAATGAAACTTCCTTTTCACTCAGCAATACTACAGCTGGAATTATACCCTAAGAAACCTAAAACATCAATTCAGAAGAATTTATGCACCCCTATGTTCATTGCAGCACTATTTACAACAGCCAAGAGTTGGAAACAAGCCTAAATGCCCATTGGTAAATAAGCAGATCAAAAAACTGTGGTCCATTTACACTGGTACATTTACACAAAGGAATACTATGCAGCAGAAAGAAAGAACTCCTTCCTTTTGTGACAGCCTGGATGGAACTGGACACTATCATGCTAAGTGAAATAAGCCAGTTATCGGTGAAAGACAAATACCATATGATTTCACTTTTAAGAGGAATTTAATAAACAAAATAAAACAACGAGCAACATAGAACCAGAGGCATGGAAACATGGAACAGCCGCCAGAGGGGAGGTAGGAGAGGGTTAATGGTGGAGGGAAGGGGAAGGGACTAGTCAAAGAACGTGTATGAATGACCCATGGGCACAGACAACAGCGTGAGGACTGACTGTGGGAGCAGGGAGGTGGGCTGGGCGGAGGATGGCAAAGGGGAAAAAATGGAACAACTGTAATAGAATAACAATAAAAAATTTTAACAACATAAAAATGCCATTTAATCTTTATTTTTTAAAAAAGAAACTGCTACTGAATAACATGCTTTGTAGGGCTCTGAATGGGGAAGAAAGAAGAAATGAATGATACACATTTACAGGTGCATCCAAAGAAGCCTAGAAACACACACACACCAAACACTGAATTGTCATTACCTCTGGGGTGTGGGGAAGGGCTTACATTTATATACTGGTCTTTGCTTGAATTAACAAGTCTGTACTATTTTTGTAATTAATTTTTACATCTCCCATGTCCTGGTCTATGAAAAGATAAGCTCCTTAGAAATAAGGAAACTGAGGCCCCACTGGGAAGAGGCAGAGTCCTCTAAGTACAATCTTTCCTACACGTCTTATTTCAGATTCCCTTATAATCTTTACAGCCCTTGGCAAATCATGTGCCTGACACAAGATCCAAAGATTCTGAAACTGGTGGTTTTTTTCCCCTTCCTTTCTGTCCTGCTAATCTGAGGTACTCCTTTTATTGTTTCTAAGCGGATTCCACATTCCATGTTTTAACAACTTCCTTCCTACCTCTGTTATAATTTACTCACCATTTCTCTACCTGTCTTTCTGCCCCTCAAACAGGTGCTCTTGCCCTGGAAAACCCACTGGAGTGACAGCTCGGCCCTCCAGGTTCAGGTTTTTGGCAGGCACAGGGGCCCCCTATCTACATGATTGCAGGACAGAGTATGCCTCCAGGTTGGTTTGTATTTTGCAAGGGGTCCGAATGTGCTTTTAAACAATGTTTTCTTATTTCAGTCAAGAAACAGTACTTGGTATGTTTTGGCAGGCACCTTTTCCTTCTTTAGGTCTTTCCTTACACAGAGGTTTACTTTCACTTTGGCTTTCTCCTGGAAGTTACAAAGCTATTTCGTACCTTCCCAACCCCAAGGTTCTCTACTGTCCTTATCCTTTACTGTGTTAATTTTTATTGTTTTAGCACCCATCAGTTTCACTTCTGCTTCCCCACTCTCACACTCCAGCCATCAATCCCCATTTATACACATTTTCTATTTCAGCCCATGGAGAAACGGCTATATGTTGAAAGAGGAAGGAAAAGAGAATTCCAGGTTCTAAGCAGGCCATCTCCCACACCGGAACCTGGGGTGTCGGGAACTAAACCTGCCCGGGGGTATCCGGGCCACCAGAAAAGGGTCAGCATCAAAGCGCCCTGGCGTCGGGAGAGCTGATTGGTTCCGGATAAACCAATCAGAGGGCGAGGCTGTGCACCGACTGGGGCGGGCACAGTTACGGAGCGGACCCAGTTAAAGCTAAAGGGACAGGTGTGCCAAGACACCGGGATTTCACGTGCACTTTTGCACCGACCAGGTCACTAGTAACCTCCGAACTCCGGTCTGCTAAATTCCACCTTCAAAGTTTCCCAGTTTCGTAATGCTAAGTAGGAGGAGAAACATTACTTATCCTACCATTCATAAAGTGGTCATTAATAGTCAATGGAGAAGCCGTAGAGTAGGGCAGAGGCCATTAAAATCCTCTATCTCTCCTTTCCCAGTTTCACTCCAGGTCAACAAAGCTTAATCGGTTCTTCAAATAGTAAGTCACTCAAATGCTCGCTTATTTGCTCAAGCTCATTACCCAAAATACTATCCTTAAACACTTGGAATAAGTTTGCCCCTCCGAAAGGACTGGAGGAAATTGTATTGGCATTTAACGAACGCGCAGAAAGAAAGGAGAAGCGAATGAGCTGCAATCAAGAAACTAAGACCTTCTGAAATGTGCTACCACACGAGCGAACGCGGCTGCCTCCAGTTCTCGGACGCCGCCGGGGGGCTCCTCCAGGCTCTCTACCCCACAAACTTCGCGCGGAGGCACAAAGACGCAGGCGGGAGGGGGAGAGCGCTGATACCAGATTTCCCTGCTGTTCCAAACTTCAGCAGAACTGTTCTAAGCACTTTCAAGTGTCACGGCCCCCGGAATCACAGATCCGTGATAGCTTTCCCACGGTCCAGCGCTTCACCCACCTATCTACCTCCATTCCAGGGCTGGAGACGCCGCGTCCTTGGGGATGGGGGAAGGGGGGGTGGAGAAGACAGAAAGGGCCAGTATAAATTAAGAGGTACCCGCCGAGGCCTAGGTGCCGGCATCCACAGAACCCTGGGGCTGAGGACAAGAAGAGAGGAGGGCTGGAATCGGGTGGGGAAGGGCCGCGAAGAGAGCGGGGGAGCGGCGGGTGTAGCTGCACTCACTCTGCGTAGCCAGTTGCCCAGGGCAGCCGCCGGGTCTCCTTGAGGATGAGGATGGGGCGGGCGATGTGGTCGGCGCTGCACTCCACCTCGTCCTGAGACAGCCCCAGGAACTCCGGCCGCCCGTAGGGGAAGCGCAGGGGCTGGTCCGAGCCTCCGCAGCCGCCGCCGCTGTGCTCGGAGCCTGAGCTGCCAGCCATGATGCCGCCCATGAAATTGGCCACGGCAGATTTCACTCGAGTGAGCATATTACTCCGGCGCCCCGCAGCAGCAGTGCGAGCGGCAGGAGGTGGCTGGGGCCCGGCGAGGCGCAGCGCGGAGCATACAGGCTACTGCGGGTGCCGGGCACTCTAGCAGCCGAGCCGCCCGGACGCGCCGCGCCGCCCAGAGCCTAGCGCTGCAGGGGGCCGAGCCCTGGCCTCCCGTGCTCCCAGCCGCCGCCGCCTCCCCCGGCTACACTTCCGCAACGGAAAGGCATGGAGCGGGCGGGCCGGGCCGGGGTACGCCGCGCACTCCGGGAGCGGCCCGGCGGCCGTAGCTGCAGTAAGTCCCTTCCCAGCCCGCTGCGCCCGACTCTTAAGTGAGCGGAACTGAGCCCACCAGGCCAGCCCGCGGAGCCCGCAAGCCTGCTGCCACGGCTACGGCCGCCGTCGAGTCATGTGATAATCAGGCTGCCCGAGCTCCAGCTGCAGCTTCGGCCGGACCTCAGCCCCTCCCCTGCCCGCCCAGCGAGGCTCGCCCGAAGAACCTGAGCTCCTGGGGGAGGGGGATCTGGGCAGGGTCTGTTACGCGCGGAGGGATGGCGGCGCTGTGAGCTGGAGCGGGTACAGGTGTTAGGGGACGTCACGTGGGGCCAGGCAGCCTGGAAAAGGCAGTTAGGAATCCGTTCTCTGAGGAATGCTGCCTGCACCTCTGGGAGGGGAAACTTGGGAGCTAGAGGGCAAAGAAAGGAACACAGGTAGGATTCTGGTGGGTTGAGTCAAGACCTGGAGTGGAAACGAGGAATACCTGGTGTAACGGACTTTTCAGAGCTTAAAAAAACAGCAACCTACAATAGCTGCACAAGAATCACGGAAAGTTTTTCCCTAGACATTTCTAGAATTATTTGTTCATTATCACCACATGCATCATTATCTACCGAGCAAACCCTGTTTCAAACCCAGAATAACTTTAACGAAGGAAAATCAAAAGAACGCAAAGAAATCAGAAGCAAGCACTATTTTACTTAGTACTTAAATATTTAATAATGTATATAAACATTTTCTTCCAACATAGGAACAAAAGTATCTTTTCAGAGCTGCCCATTTACCATTGAGAAACTTAATGCAGCCTTTTATTTTTTCGTATTTTGAAAAGTTACAAAATTAAGGGCCCTTTGAAACTAAAGGAAATAAAATAGAATATAGCAACTCAACGAAATGCTAAAGGAAAAATGAATAAATGTTTGCAACGATAAACATTTCGGTGGTCTCGTGTATTAAAACAAAGAAGTGAAAAACAAATGTGCTTCACTAGACGTAATACTTATTAAATGTTGGATTTAAAGAATTATTTTTGCAGAGAGCCGTATCCTGTTCATGTTTACTTATTCTGTATCCTGTTCCTACCTTTAACTACCATTTAATTTGCCAGGATTCTGTGTTACTTGTAGAGTTCCACACTGACTGCTCACTTGGAGTTAAAGCTCTCATTTTTCTAAGGGAGTTGTGGTGGGGTGGGCAGGAAGAGCAGCCCGGGTGTTAGAGCTGAAGCTAATTCTCTGAAGAGGAATTAGAATCCTTGCTCTTAGGGGAGGGCTGCGTAAGCCTCATTTATTCCTTTTATAATGTTTTTGGTATTTCATTTAACCTTTATTGTATATTTTACATGACCTGTTCATTCCCTTATACTCCTCCCCCCCTAGCCATCACCACACTGCTGTCAATGTCCATGAGTCCTTTATCATTTTTGCTCAATCCCTCCACCTCCTAGCCACCCCCTACTCCCACTAGCTGTATTTTTAAGGCATTTTCCTCTTTGGCTGTTGTTTTTCAATTACAGTTTAAATTCAGTGTTACTTTGTATTAGTTTCAGGTGCACAGCATAGTGGCAGACAATCATATACTTTACAGAGTGCCCCCCCCGGATAATTTCAGTACCCACTTGGCACCGTACCTATTTATTACAACATTATTGACTATATTTCCCATAATTACTTTATATCCCCTTGACTATTTTGTAACTACCAATTTGTACTTCTTAATCCCTTGACCTTTTTCACCCATCCCCCTCAACCCCCCTCCCCTGTGGCAACCATCAGTCTGTTCTCTGTATCCCTGAGTCTATTTCTAGTTTGTGTGTTCATTTATTTTGCTCTTCAGATTCTACATATAAGTGAAATTATATGGTATTTGTATTTATATGTCTGATTTATTTCACTCAGCATTAATACCCTCTGGGTCCCTCCATGCAGTTAAAAATGGTGAGATTTCATGTTTTTATGGCCAAGTAAGATTCCTTTATTTATTTATGTATGTATTTATTTATTTTTAAAAATTGGTCTGTCCAGAAAGTATCCAGCCATGCACTATGAAAATAAAGACACTTATTGAAGAAAATGTTAGATACAAGAAACATAGTACATAAGACAATGGCACCTCAATCCCTTTCAAAGTAGGCACCTTGGGACCTCACACAGTTCTCCCAATCACCATCAGCTGCCACATAGTATTTTCCTGAATCTCATTGAAGGTCTGAAATCTCTTCCCTTTCAAAGGTGATTTTAAGTTTGGGAAAAGCCAGAGTCACAGGTCACCAAATCTGGCTTGTAGGAGGGGCTGAGTCACCTGAATGATTTAACGTTCTGCCAAAAACTCTGCATGAGACATGATGCATGAGTCGGCATATTATTGTGATGAAGCTGCCAATCGCCAGTTTCCCTCAGCTGCAGCCTTCTGAATCTTCTGAATACTTTCTGTGGAGGAGTGCTCACGCTTGATGCAAAACCTAATACAGATTCATCGCACTGCTCACTCAGTCATTTTGAATGGGATGGCCACACAGTACACATGCTCACTCAGTGGTATCTACCACTTCCACTGATTAGTACAGTGAAATCATCATTGTTCACACATGCAGATTGCAGTCCACTTTCCTTGGCCTCCAGGTTACATCAATGTCACACAAACTGTTCTCATTATATTAACAATGGCTGGACTTCTGGCTAGATACACACACATACACACACACACACACACACACACACACACACACACACACACCCCCCACTGCTTTTTTATTCACTCATCTATTGATGGTCACTCGTGTTGTTGCCATATTTTGGCTTTTGTAAATAATGCTTCAGTAAACATGGGGGGTGTATTTTTTTTTTAATTAGTGTTTTGGGTTTCTTTGGATATATACCCAGAAGTGGAATCACCCTTTGGCTTTTTCATGAATCAGTACTCCAATTTACTATATAGGAAATACATATGTAAAAAACAACAATATTTAACCTTTAGGGAAATAACATTCCTGTCAATGAGTTCTTTTAATAGTTTTCACAAAACAATAATGTAATTTTACTTGGCCTCTTTAACTTTAATTGTTGGGGCAGGATTGTAAATGATACAAAATGTAAATGAGCAAAACCAATCTTATAGACCTTTGCTTTGTTAAACTATACTTCTAATGGGAGATCTCTATGTAGTGGCTAACCATCCAACCAACCACATGCTCAGATAAACTTACAACCCCTTTTTCAAGCTTTTGTTTAGAACAATTACGTCTTAACCATGTCCTTTGGATACCTCAGTAATTAACTTTGGTGGAGATTATGGTCTTCCCTTTTTTTCACTTTATGGCAAGGCTTTAGTATTTACTAGAAATAAGAGTTCTAAAAATTTCTTGTCTGATATGTTTTCATTTTAAAAGTAGTACCCGATCATAGTCAATAAACAAATTCCAATAGCACAGAACTAACAATGAGATAGTAAAAGACTCCAAAACATTCCCTGGGGAGGTCACTACTGTTAATATTTTCTATAGGCGTCCACGATTTTTCCTTTAATAGGATACTTAGCATAATTAAATTTGCTAATATTAGCCATATTTGTGAATCAATGCTTTTGTAAGGAGCTATTCTACTCCTTTGTAACTTGGTTATTTTTTCTTATGGGAAAATGTTGCTGTATCTTTAGCTTTGCACAGCAAACTTTGTTCTACGAACAGCAGGCAAACAGGGATTCCATGCCTGTTCTCCCTCGAATATTTCCATGAGTGTTCACAGTTAACTAATAAATCTGCTACCTCATTTTTACACACACCTCTAAGGTCAGTGTCTCATCCCAGGATTTTCCGGACAAATATTTTCCATGAAATTTATTCATCAACGATGTCATTCATGAAGATCAATCAGCATTTTAGCAGGGAAGTGGGAGGTGGAAATCCTTATTAAAATGAAGCAGTAATCCATTTTAGGGAGCCCCTGAAAAAGTGCCCTTTCACACCTATTGTGGGTGCAAATTTGAGAATACCAGTGCTCCCAGATGTAGGTTTAGTAATTTGCTAAATCCGAATGGCCCTTTGATGTATTTGTGCCCCAGTATATGCCCTCGTCATCAGTAGGTGCCCTTCATTTTTGTCTCTCCGTGTTCTCCTTCTCCCTGGGAAAAGTGGATTGAAGATTCCAATGGAATATTCATTTACAGGTGAGATATATAGACCTTATAGTGGGATGTTTTTTTATATAAACTCATCTCGTTTCTGGGCCTATAATGATATGTTTTTGACTGCTCAATGACTCTGCCCTATCAATAAGACAGTTTAAAAAAAAAGCTCTGGATAGATAAGTAACCACAGAAATGGACCAACTAGAAAAAGACGTCAAGATGGTCATAAGATGGAGGCGTAGAAACATGTCTCGCCTTCTCGCACAACTATAACAAAAATTCGACTGGACTACAAAACAAATATCTCCCAGAATCGTCAGAAAATTGAGCGGTATGGAAATCCAACAACCAAGGATTCAAAGAAGCCACACTCATCCAGACAGGTAGGAGGGGGCAGAGATGCAGAGATGCGTGGAGGGTTCCAGCCCAGGGTTCCAGGGCCAGGAAGATAAGTTACCATGACTTCTGGCTGTAAAACAGTGGCAGGGGTGGGGGTTGGGGAGGTGGAAGAAACTGGGATTCTCACAAGAGTCCTCTTAAACAGCCTGCAGCGGACTTAGGATTCATGCAGACTCACTCTGGGATTCAGCAACAGGGCAACAGCTGGAAGGGCACCAGTGACATACAGGGAGAAATTGAAGTGATTGGCATTAGGACCAGTTCCAGAAGACCGCTGCCTCCTGGACAAAACACCAGAGGACAGGCAGTGGCATTGTCCCCTCTCCAAGCCCTCCCCCACACAGAGCCACAGAGTGATGACACGGGTTGCCCTGCCCTGGCAATTACCGAAGGCCAGATCTGCTCCATACAGCTTACAGGTGTGCTTTTCTACAATAGGCCATGCTACTAAGGGAGTCAAAGCTGCTCTACCTAATACACAGAAATAAACACAGGGAGGCTGCCAAAATGAGGAGATGAAGAAATATGGCCCAAATAAAAGGACAAAATTGCAAAAAAAAAAAAAAAAAAAAACCACCCAAAACCAAACCTAAATGAAATGGCGATAAGCAACCTATCAGAAGCATAGTTTGAAAAACTGTTTATTAGCATACTCAAGGACCTCTTTGGATACTTTCACAGCATAGAAAAGAGTCAGGCAGAAATGAAGGTTACACTCAGTGAAATAAAGAAAAATCCACAGGGAACCAACAGTGGAGGG